TTCCATTTGGCACAGTTCATCATTCACATATTTGACACGACATTTTCCAGCATTTCAACGAGTAGGCTGTTGGCGAAAGAGTGTGCGTTTTCAATAGCGCCGCGTTGAAGTCGATTACCCTGATGCAGAAGCATAGTTGACTGTGTTAAGGGCAATTCCCTGTCAGTATTTCAGACCCTCTCTGCGGCTAGTTTCGGATGGTTTAATCAGTGTTAGTAGCTGCCAGGGGCAAAAAGGGCTATCGGCTTTTCAACCAGCACCAGTTGCGGGAAAAGAGCTCCGCTGGGTGAAAAAAGGCATGACCGGAGTGTACTTCGTTCCCAGATATGTTACATCTGACACCACTAATTCCCTGAATCGCTATTCTCACCACATCCTCATGAAAATTCGGAGTCACCGAGAGAGTATTAATGTACGGGTCCAAAGGAGAGAGTCTTTGTCTTATAGACAAGCTGATATCATGCCTGGAGCAGCTAACCACACAGGCGTTTCATCAACCTGTCCGACTTACTACAATAAGAAATTTCACAGTTCTCTTTAGTGACCTTATCAAGGATGCGGTCTGCAACTCCCATTTACAATCACTTCCAGCCGTTTCGGTTATTTTATAGTCACTGGATCGCGCAGATATAGGTCAGTGGAAGAAAGGGTATGGGTATACATATCAATAGACATTCACGATAGAAACTGAGGTAGGGGACTCACGCATAAACCATACAGAGTAGGGATGTGCATGCAACTTTGAGAAGCTGTGTGCAGGTGTCTGAGAGCCACTCAAGAGCGATGGTTTTTGGTTCAACAGTCTCGTTGTCTTGACCGTCCGGTTTGATGCAGCGGATCATCGAAGCATCCAAGAGAAAAGTAAGTAGTCTATCACAGCCAGAACCGTCTGCAAAGTGACGAAGATGAGAAACAGGCGACAATAAACGTGAAGAAAAGAAGAGCCATTGTCAGCTATTGTCATTCTAATCCAGATTGGTTTCTCCTTACCTGGAGCTGTTAAAATCACATCAGTAGTCATCTGCAGAAGTTGTTGTTTCTCCGAAGAAGTGTACAAACTACTGAACAACTGATGAAGTTGAACAGCATCCAATTTAACCAACTCATCAATCACCACCAAAATGGTGGAAGACCTAATACACTTGGCTAAATTTAGCAGCCATATGAGCGAGGCCGGCTGCCGGGGCGGTCCTGACTTGGCTTCCGATCCCATGTTGTTCTGCTTTTCTGTGGATTGACCACGAGACCGGATTGGGGATGGACTAACTGAAGTATGCGTGCTTTGCAAACGCCATGGAGGGAACTGTGAGGTTTGGTTTGGAAGAGAACCCGGTCCAGGTAGAGTAGATCCAGGTGGGACCATCGGCGGTGGGGGGTTCGCAAAAGGAAACGGGAGAGCAGCTGGTCGCAACGGATGATGAGCATGACGCGGACCTGATCGAACATGGGTTGTAAACAAAACACAGAAAGTAAGACTGTCAGTGAGCTGGAAAGATGTTCCTACAGACGGTCACAATGTGTAGATACGGTTCGTGTAGACGGTTGCTTATACACTCCTGACGAGGTATGAAGACACAGTCGTCTTATCAATAGAGACCAATACACGACCTGAACACCGACCATTGAAAAGAGTGGTCAATCAGTGGGTCACTCCATATATGATAAAAATCCCCGTTCCCACACAGTTGTTTCACCCACACCCGCCTACATTGATCACATATCCTACGCGTGCGACTCATCACCCAACTGTGTAAGTACGCATTTTGCAGATCACAGATAACATTTGCCTCAGAAAGCCCAGATAACTTGGAAGACAAGTATGAGGATGATCCCTGCTTGAGTGATTGTGGGTTCGCTCCTTGTTAGGAGCATGAATAAACGTTCGAAATACAGGACGGAAACCATCACACGCTACAACTTGATGCACACAACTGCAATAGAGATCAGCAGCCATGATGGACCCCGGTGCATGAGAAGAAACCATTGACATTTCATGAAAATGCACAAGCTAAGAGTAGCACCTGCGCGATCTGAGAAGAACATACAAGAACATGCACCTTAAGGGGAGATGCATGCATCAAATGGGTAAGCACCAGAGATAGTGGTAAAACTAGAAGTGACATTCGGTGACAGGTCGATCATTCAGGCATGACCTAGTGGCGAAGAGGTGTGTGAGTTGAACCGCCACTGGTTTTCCGATTGCCTGTATCCGTACCTGGGCAACTTGTTAGTAGTTCCGCCCTCGTACTTCTTTGGGGTACCCAGCAGTACGCCAGACCTGAACGATTTGATTACGGTCGACTAGTGACCAATGCTCAGCCCCAATAGTACAACGTGACTGGTACACCAAGTCTTGGGAGAGAAGAAATTCTCATGGAACCAGGTGTTGTGTATTTACTCGCTGGTTCGGGTGGTTCAGCGGACAAGATCCCGAACTCCTATTTGATGACACTCATTCGACCCCGATTAACATCATCGTATTGGTAGTCAATCCCCATCCTGATAACCAGTATACATAGTAGTACGAAGGCATTGATGTAACAGACGCTTTTTCGGTCCCCTTCTGCTCTCATAAAGGCACATCTGCGAAGTAAGCTAAAGCAATTTTAGACAGCTGTGGCTTGATTTCCCTAACTTCAAGATTTCCACAACCACCATTTCGCAATAAAAGAAATCAAACATCACTTGTTTTTTGGAGTCACCGATAGTGAATAACGAAGTGATGGTAGGCATCAACACATGATCTGCGGAAATCTGACTGTGCTGTCACGTGTGCGGCCACTTCGCCGAAATGAATAACCGGCTTAAAAATTTGTTTTAAGTCAATCGAAACATAGAAAGAGGACCTATGTATTACCAAAATGTCTTCCGTAGAGTCCACCGGCAGGACTTTGGGAGAACGGGGCTTTGAACATGGGACTGGAACCATCGTGAACAGCCGAGATGAACGAAGAGGGATCCGGACCGTGAGATCTGTACTGTCGACTCTCTGGGCGGCTTGGCAATGCCGGGCTAGAGGTGCTAGAGGCCTGAGCCGGAACGGATTGAAGCGCAGTTGGTGGAGCAGACGGTGGAGTGGGCACCGATAACAATCCCAAATGCAAAATCAAAGAGATCAGTCGACGACCTGCAACTTGCTCGTCAAATATTTCACCCACAGCTTTGTTAGCAGAGGAGGTTATCCACTTCCTCACTTTTCGGCTGATTGAATCTGAGACGAATACACCAACTTGATCGCCAAGAAAAAGGAGGTGCGTCAAACACGAAGTAATCTGGAAGAAAAAAAGTGGTACAGTTCCTGTCGTCTGTCAACGACTAACAGAGGTAGCTCCATCAGTTTTATCCCCAACCGATAACAACTATGAACGATATCGTCCACCGTCTTCATACAAGTTAACAAGATTGTGGGTTTCTAAGTTGGACACAAAACACCGCTTACATAGACCTCCGCAACAGGGATTAGCACTGGGATCTGTGCTCAGAATGGTCCCTCCTGGGGGCGGGGATCCTGTTTAGGAGGATCGAACAAATCCTCAGTTCTATGTGACAACATAGTGGTATTCATGTAAAACACTTAATCTTTTTACAAGAAATTTGTTTATTCCGTGTTATTCGTAATTTATTTGGTTACGTTTCGAAATATATTAGCGAGAAAGTGAGAACCTTAGAGCCCAATTTTTTCCGCGAAATCTCATCAGATGAAAAGGCACCGTGTGACTTTCTATGGTGTTGAAGCATGCCTACTGTTAGATTACCCGTAGTTTCACTTTTCTTAACGTTGTCTGATCGGTCGCTCGTAGATTTACTTTCCCGTAAAGTAGGAAGCTCGAGTTTTCTAATGAAGCGACGTTGGAAACTGTCACATCCCCTTACAGTCAAGCGAAACGCGAAAATACGAAGATCGGTTTCCACCTACTCCTCAGGAACACTTCCAAATTGTAGAAAACTAGAAGTGGAAAATGGTTCAGCGGTAGCACTCTTTTGTTGCCCAACTTACACGTCATCCGAAGGAAGCACGAGGGCTGCAAAGTTACCCAAGCCAAGACAAGGGAAGTCGGGTTCGAACCACGAACTTCCTGCCAGTAAATTCGCGCTCTAACCACTACGACATCTCACCCATGAGCCACCTGAGTCAGAACTATTGTCAGGTTGGTACGTTTCCACGTTAAAATTGTCGAAATGGTCGACTTGTACCTGTTCTAAGATCCAAAAGGTTGAGAATCACTGCACGAATTTTCCATTCCTACTGGAAATTATCAGCACTGTGCATCTCAGGAACCTCGGGAGATATTCGAAATTGCAACCTCCTGGTTAGTAGTTGAAGACAGTCGTTTGGCACGAGAGGTGGAACAGTGGTGTGATTAACTGGGATTTAGACAAAGCATAAAATCACTTGCTCCATAATCGCCGAATAAACATCAAGTCGCATGTATCTCGTAGTTCTTTGCTTGACGGTCTATCGGCCTGTGAATTATTGACGATCCTGAGCCAGGCGCTTCTAGGTGCCTCCTCATACTATAAACAAGCATGGTTTACATGCAGTAAAATGGCGCGTTGCTGCTAACCAACTCACGCAATGCCTTGCAGATGCTTGGAGATGTTCTAGGACTTCCTTGTTGGAGTAGTCAAGTGTTCGAAGATGTGGTAACCAATTAGGAAATAGAAACAGTGATGAGTGACATCAGATGACAATAAAGGACCCAAAGGGAACTAGGGTGTGTCATTTTCGACGGCGAACCAATTCCGGTCAGGTATTTAAAGGGAGACCTACCCAAAAATGTAAGTCCACACGTTTTTCCACCAACCAACCAGTCAATGTGTCTGGCGTATTCCCAAGCGAGTCCAGAACGATCGAAGGTGCCAAAGGGAACTGAACGGAGGCATCCAATATAAGATCGACAAGGCGTTGAATGGAAACGGTACCATTATCTTCATGTCTGGAAACTTGATACAAGATCCAAATAACCACCCAGTGGGGCAAAACAGAACTGGGTGAAGGAATATAGCCAGATTGAGATGGCAAGATCACTGTGGACAGTTCGGACGGCAGCGGTACTGTGGCTATAGCCAATAGCGACTGAATTGTGGAAAGGCGAACAGCATGCCCCTGTAGACAGATCGAAACGACTGGCGATTAGATATGGGCAAACCAACGCAGTTACGTGTATTTAGAGGCAAAGTGCTCACCATGATTAACTCGTAGGCCAATTGAAGTAACTCAATGAGCACACGGCAATGTGCCCAAGGACCAAGTAACTGTTTGTTGGCTGCTGAAGTGGACGAGAGATCTAGGGAGTCCGTTGTGGTTGGCTCAGAAGTAGGGAGTGCAGCAGCCGGAACCTCCGGTGACGAATATTCCACATCATCTGTATCCTCCGAATCAGAGGCTTCCGAGTCGGAAGATGTTGGTCGATGAGTCCCAGGAACACTGAAAAGATTGGACTCTTTGACCCTACTGTGGGCCTTTTTCTTACCGTCGTCGTCTAAATCTGGTTCTGTGGGATCGATGCTCAAGTGTTTTGGAATTTCATCTGCTCTAGTCACTTTCCAACTAAAACTAGATTTAGAACGCGAATTAGCATTCAGTAGACGTCGCAAACTGCTCAACATTTGTGTAGGAGGGACAATACAGGCAGGACGAAGACGGGCGAGAACCCAGGAACAAACTCCGGAGGCGAATTCATCGGAACCGGAATTGAGCAGGACAAGTTCGCGAAGCTGTTTGAGAGGTAAGAAAGACATAAATGTGTATTCGTCAGTTGAGAGAAGATTAACAAATTGGTTGCTTCGAACTTGTGTGAGGACAGACCCCTTAAACTGAAACGTCTAGGGAGTTTGCTGAGAAAATCCCCATTCTAAAGAACGATTAAGCTCTCATTTCAACGGGTTTAACAAAACATGGTCATCCAAAACATACTGCCTCCCTTAGAAATGTGTTGGCTGTGAGCTAAACAGAAATCGACGTGACAATGTCAACAACGTGGATGCCCGTTTGGTCCGCTATAGTAAAATCAGATTTGCTGTGTACCCGGGTCAGGCGATAAGGCTTCTGAAAGATGCCTTACATCTGATCGACAGTCGCGCATGCAGATGTTTTGGCTGGAAGCATCAAGTAGGGTACGAACACTTCTAATGTTAAAAATCCCTACCCTAGCTGCCAGGGCAGAAAATGATCCTCGCTTTCCGTGAACGGTGTTATTGAACTCAACAGGTTTTTGGACGAAGCATGAACTTGTCACTGAGCACAATGCATACATAAGCAGTAGAGAGAGTTCAAGCACAAACGTTTCTGTTTCGTCGGCTGCCACAGTCAACCTATTCATTACCCATATATTCTGCTTGATCAGGTCGGGTCGGCTTAAGCTAAATGCACTGATTGGAAGCCGTTAGTTAAGTACAAATTCAGAACCTATCTGAAGAAGGCATAATGCACAGTTGGGATTATTTTGACTCAATTGATGGGTGTACCAAGCTAAGGAAGCCTACTATACACCCTAGAACAGTCTGCTGCTGTCAAAACTAACCATCTTTGTCTAGGCAGTGAATAGGCTCCTCCTTGCCGTCAATCTACCTATCCGCGCTGGAAGTATTGTAAAAGATAAAAGAAACAATAACATCACTGTTTCTTCCAGAACCTCGAGATCAAAAAGTCTGACAAAAGCTGGTTCGAATTGCGCCACAGAATTAAGTATTTTCACTACTATGTGAGTCAGTAAAATTGTTTCAAACCCGCGCAAAGATTATTCATCCACCGACGTGAGAGAAAAACTCGTTCAGCTGTAGCATCTTTTCGGTGTCTAACTGCCATGCGACCCGGCGGACGTGAGAGAATATCACCAATAAGCTCGTGCGCTGTTTTTGTGAGGTCACCCATTTGATCCAGGCATGCAAACAAAAGCAACTATTTTGGCATTTACGTGCAGGTCAGGGAAGGAATATGGCTTCCCTTTTGAAAAGTGGTTTGAAATGTTGGTTGACCGCCAGAAAATTGTAGAAACTCACCATACGTGCAATGGCGCACAAGACCGATTCCGCCGCAACCAGGTCCTCGAAACCTTCACCGCAGATATCCGTCGTGGCGGCCTGCTGACCAACCTTTTGATGATGATGCTTCTGCCACCACAGGACGAAATATTCGCCGAAAAGAGGTGTCATGTGATCCAGCACGGCCAGTCGGCTAGCAGGACAATTCCGTAGCAACACACGAGCCATGTCCGTTAGGCCTTGCCACTCCGTCGCAGATTTGTGGAGTATTGCTGCACCGCCACCCGGTGCGGTAGCACGTGCGGAAGTCGCACAAGCACTGACGAAGCGATTCCAGTAGTTACCCAGCGGGTTCATTCTATCGGGGCGGCTGTGAGAGAAGACTGCAATGTTTCACCCATTACTTTAACCCATCGACAAAAGGACAAGACGTCACACAAAACATGTCACAAGATCTTGAAAACATGCGATACCCATATGTAAGCTGTTTTAGACTATCCCACATACTGCATGGTACGCGGTCAGTACATCAACGACCTCGCTGTTATCCACCACACACCTGTCTTGCGATTGTTAGCCAACAATATCATTGTCACCATCAATGACAGCAGATCAAAGCTCAAAACTGGCGCTGTAAAACCATATTGGACAATGTTCAGTATTCTGATTAAATTGACAGCTGACCGGGAGCTCGCACATCTTTCTGACCAAAGCACTAATTGGTTAAAATCTCAGATGCTGCGCGTTCATCTAACACTGTCATAGATATGATCCAGTGAGAACAACTACCTAATGAATGATCCATCATCGTCGTCAAAGGATAGCTGTAAGGTGACCTCCGTGCTTGATGCGTGTGTTCCGATTGCTCTAATACAACATGAGAGCTACTGTGATGGCGGGATACTACAGTTTGAGAAATTCCACTGCCAAAAGGTGTCGATCTTGTGTGCGACACATGTGATCTCCTCATAATCTGTTAACCGGGTCCTTTGATCTACAGCATTAGCGAATTTTGCGGCGCAAACCTAAGCTCGAGGTGGCTCGTTAGACATCTAACCCTCCTAGAAAGTCCATAGCAGTACTACACGTCAGCTCCAACATAGTGTGCCGTGACGTGCAAGAGGAGTCTCTCTCAGGAGAGACTGAATACACTCCTTTAGTTGTGATGACCTCAGTTCACAGGATACCTGTCCCACATACACCAGTACAGTGGTTCATCCATCCATAGAACGAGGCATCACCTAATGTCATGTGCATCTGCCAGTACACGACCATTTTTTCCATGTGGATAGGACAAATGAGTAAAAAGCCTGTAGTGGATCGACGGTGTGCGAATCTTATCATTTTGATTAATTATTGCGCGCTGGTGATACGTTTTGTCCTCCTTTCTGGGCTTGGGCACATGGGAGTTCCCTAGTTCTAATCCACAGAAATTGTTGTGAACCCCCTGCCTTAGCGGAATTCTTGTCACAAAGTTATTCCACAGCGTACACGCTACAGATATATCAGTGACATGAATGAAATCCCCTACCTTCCAACAACAGTGTCTTTCTCATCATTAGTAACAATACTCACCGGTCAGAACGAAAGTACATGGCGTAAAGATCTCTGTATAAAAGACAAACTGTACAATGTGGTGTACGGATTTATGCAAAATGGTGCTAGAAAACCAGAGACTCATTCATGAGGGTCGCTGGAATTCATCTTGGCAAATGCATATTCGATAAGACATTTGAACCGTTTAAGGCGCTGCTTTGCTGCAAGGGTGAGTGATTCCAACATGGCGCCACGTTTGCGCTCTTCTGCCACACGTGCATCAGTCAATTTTCCACGAGTATGACTGGAAGATTCCTCCGTCGATGCAATATAAGTTGAATCATTTTCCCGCCAGATGGACTCTAAATCGTTTACCAAATGTTCACTCTGATTAGCCAAAGCTGGGGATAAATCCGCGCGAGTGACAAGGTCTGAAAACTCCCAATACGATTGTTGTGACTTCTTTCGTGGTGTTTTCGAATTTCGGTCAGGCGTCTCCAACCTGGATAGCTGGGTCAAATCCACAATCTGGGCTGAACTTGGCTTATACGGCGGCTCGACGTCAGTTGGCCGGCAAATCAAATTGGACAACCAATGGCTGATTCGATCGCGGTTCGTCTGACTGAATTCGGCGGCGTGTGAATCCTCAAATACCCAGGTATGTCGGAACAGATCTCCATGAGATGTGAGAGTTAATACTTGGATACCTTCGTCGGTCACTGGCAACACAGACAAACCACAAAGACTGGTCAGAAGACGTTCTTTGGCCACATCACCTTTCACGAGTCGCAAGGGCAACTCTCCGTGGAATTCACATAAACCAGGAGTCAAGCGAGCTCCCATGAGACTGGGACCGACTAGCTGAGGCCCAGAAACCGATGTGAAATTAAAACCGACCAAACTCGTGTCAGCTGGGTACTGTGAAACAGCAGCCAACATCAACTCTGGCATCTCGTGTCGTTCTCGAACATGGGCAGCCGCCGTAGACCAGTCTACGTAGACGGGTGGTGCTGGTAAGTTATGCTGGGTGTGCAGAACAGTCCGTCCTGGCATACGTTTATCTACCATAACTGTACTGTACGGTGTTGTAACTAGTGCGTAGACATCTCCGAGAAATTTTGGAGCCACATAAGTAAAATATTCCGACGAGTTGAGTACGGCTGGATTGGCAACGGTGGAGAATAACTCACGGGCACTGCTGCATTGTCGTGTGTCGAGCAACAGTAGTCTCCGACAGGTTGACAGACAGAGCTCAGTTGGGTGACTGGCAAAACCTATACGAACCCCCATTTGCCAGCCCGCTACCGAACTGGCTCGAATAAGACTTTGGTTGATTGGCTTAATGAACTGCAAGTGTGCGTCCAAAAGGGACTGAACAGGATCCTCTGGAAGAGTCGACAGGCCAAGTGCACTCAAATTACCTTCACTTTCAGCACCGACCCCGTCTGTGTGATCATCCAGGAACACGCGACAGGTCCAATAAAAAGACGGTTCATCGGAGAGGGAATATAGACGTACATATGCGGTCTTGTCTCTACAAAGGGTCAAGTGTGTGCCTGCGATGGCAAATTGTGCATCATTGGTCCAAGGACTAGTGCAAATACTAGAGGCAGTGTTCGGGAGAGGAGGTAGAAAAGATTGTTCCAAGTGTGCTGACGTACCGTCGTCCGAAATTCGTATGCGCGTTAGGGCAACATTGTTTGTCGTAGTAGAGGAATCCCAGCGAGAAACAATGTTATAACGAAGGGACAGTTCGTCATCACATTGTACGTCAAGTTCACACATGCGGGTATGAGATACGGGGAGATCAGAGAGAGGTACAGAAATCGGGCTGAACTGGTTGGTCTCACTTAGCTTGGATAGCCATAGGTATGGTGGGGCGCTACGATGAGGTACTGACCAGAAAACAAATCGCCCAGCAGTACGAAGTAGCCCATGTCCAAAGAAGACTGGATTGACTAGCCGACTAGCCAGTCTAATTAGAAAAGGATCTACCGCTGCCAGTAAACGATTCTCGTCGGTGTTTCGCTCCTCCGTTTCGAAATCGCACAGTTTGGAAAGCATGACCGGCAACACAGGCCCACTCGCCCGATGTTTTTCATGGATGGAAAGTCGCCTTCTCTTAGCAGAAGGTTCTGTGATGGTATCCAGCCACTGCTCTTCAAGTACATCGTCGGACTCCGGTGGCGGATAGATTTCACATCGGATACATTCAAGGATCTGACGTTGGGCTTTGGATTTCAAACAATTTGACCCCTCTGTGGCCAGGTGCTCTAGTTGCTCCAGACACTCGTAAACCTTGGCGGATTTTGCGCTTTTTTCATCCAACGATACAGCACTTGTACGAATGATTCCCTGCATTTTCCCGATCAAGAATGCAGCCGAAGCCTGTTCACCAAACAATGCATCGTTGAGAAGGTTACCGTAACCCGCATCAAAGGCAGCCGTCGAATCTAAAAACGATCCTTGCGAACAGCTCCCGCCGGATTCGACAAAACAGTCCTGTGGGAGATAATGAGCAGGTAGAACAGGTGCAGGTAATTCGGTGTAGTGCAACCGACCGTATAACGAATTGGAGATTTGAGGAACAACCTGAAAAGAAGGGGGACAAACAATCGAAGAAACAAAGGATAAGACAACTAAAACATGCGAAGTGATGGAAGAAAACGGTGCTCTAATGCATAATAAAAGTTTAACCTTAAAATTACAATGTAGGAGAGAATCCTATATCTCCAGGGGAAGACAGCCAACACCGAAGAGGAAATAAAGAGCTGCATTCGTGCTTAGTATGCTATGGGCACTGCATTCACTATACTAGAAGTACAAAGAACCTTAGTCAGGATTGAAGTCCTTGCTCTACGTCGCAAAATCTGTTGCCGGCTGGGAACCCAAACAGGCTTTAGGACGGTTCACACCAGAGCATTCACCCGAGGTTGTCATTGAGAAACAGGAGTTCAATCTTGAAAATAACATACAGCAGCGTTTTTTGGAGTTAGCTTTTAAAATAGGGCTGGCTTTTTCCCAGGCCAAGCATGCGCTTTACCGTATTCCGTTCGATCTGTGTTTATGAAACAAACGTGGCAACGTGCCTACGTACACATCCCACAATTAAGCAAGGTCCTTCCTCACCAGCGTCCCAAGTGAATGCAACTGATCCCCTTTGAGTGGTATGACAAAAATGGTTATTGACATGTTATGTGTTTCATTTCTACCGGCAACACTGAACGAAAAAAACATTTGTGGAGAATAATCCAGGTCATGATCATAGATAGAATTTGGACCCGCGTCTGGGAAGCGTTTTTACGCATAAGGATTACTGTCAATAAGTGCCCTGCTCAGTAAACAAATAACCAGGAAGTGATCCCTAATTCCGATTTCGGGCAGATACCTTCAGTGGATTAAATATGACCTCAACCTCCGTTCATCTCCATTGTTTTCTTACTATGCATTCTCTCGTTCCACACAATACCTATGTTGACCCTTGGTTTGCTGAAGCAGGGCTTCAGCAACTTTTAAGGCAACTTCAATCCGACTGTGTACCAATAAGCAACTTATAAGTGAGTGAGAACTACCTCACTATCAGAGTCTAATTCAAGCCTAAAAACGCATTGCTGTGCATCAGTGTACGAAAAGAAACTACCATTTATACAGTGCGCCCTATAGAAATAGAATAAATTCGGCTACGATCCATCAGTTGGTATGTAACCGTCGAACAGTGGTAAAATGAAGTGTGTTCAGCGCAGAGTAAAACCCTACAACACACACCGATTACGCCTCAGAAACAAGTAGACATAAGAAAGGATAGTGCGCGAGAATGAAGTAAAACAATTTGCGAGTGTTCATGGTGAGCAGCATGCTCCGGTAGCCTGCAATGTAAGACCAGGAAGTTCCTATTTGAATCAAAAGAACGCTTGGAAGAAAAACGGCCTCTTTGAGAGACCTTCTAAGCGATGACTGTGCCATATCTCACCTTCATAGGGTTCAGTAGTTCGGGTGCAAAACTGCTGACCGGAAGGCCTATGGTTCGAACTCAACCCAGACACCTCAAATTCCCTTACCTAAGCTTCGGCAACCTGACCAATTCCTAGTGCTCGTGCATTCTTCGGTTTGCACGGCAGCTAGATGATAAAGGATGTTACAACTAGATAATTGGATTATAAAATATGTAACAAGCTGTCAGTCTAACCCTAATGAAACACCAGAATATACTCAGTTAGCACCGATGCAGAAAATTCTGCAGCATATCCGAACCCGTGTGAAGACATATTCGCATAGTATCCGCAGATTTCTGCACAATACCTGCACACATCTGTACAAGGTTGTGGAATTATCGGTGCAACATCCGCACCTAGCTAAAGTCGTCCGACGCGCGAATATAGCCCATTATATGCACTTATTTCTTACCCTAGTACAATTCAGTAACTTCCTAAACATTACGCACCCGTGCTTTGATAACCCATCTACTCCCACGTTATTCCTCAGCGTATTATCGTCCCGGATATAAATAAGCGATCTCAAGTACAAGTGTTTTCATCAATGAATTTTTGAAAAAAAAATACAAAAGAAGAATCACTTGTCACTCTTGCTGGCTCTCTGCAGACGTTTCCGAACTTTATGCCGTTCGTTTTCCAGCCAGAGATGAACGATTTCCTTTATTTGCTGTAGA